ATGTTTTTTTTTAAACATTAGGATCTAGTCAGGTTTTAGCTGTTGCTTTTGATTGTTTCATCTCTCAGTTTTTGCTTATTTTTTTTCCCTTAAAGTCTGGTATTGTCCCCACTATCTCCTTCATTTATGACATTGAAATGTTGAGGAGTCCAGGACAGTTGGCTTCCAGAATGTTCCACACATTATGGATGTATCTGAGGATTTCTTCCTTGGTACGTCGTCGTTTTAATGGAAGCATGGTATTCTGTCCTGTGAATACCCTGTGGTTTATTTTAGGTAGTGAATACCTCTTTTGTGGCTAACAGCTAGTATTCAATCCCAAGGAGTGTGTGGCCCCATTAGGCCACGGTAAAAGTTTGTGGTTGGTTAATGAAGACAAAGTTTTCTAAAGCCAAACGTGGCTGGCTGGAACACAACCAAAGGCAGAAGTAACAGTGGTTGCATGTTTCCCTTCCCTTTTCCCTTGAAAGAAGACGGATTGTTATTTTATTCTGTTCAGGTTGCTATAGTAAAATATCATTGACTGGCTGGCTTATAAACAAAAGCAATTTGTTTCTCATAGTTCTTGGTGTTGGAAGTATAAGATCAGTGTGCCAGCATGTTGAGTTATGACCACTCTGTCTGGTGGCAGATTTTTCATTGTGTCTCACTGGTGGAAGGTGCTAGGGGGCTCTCTGGCACCTCTGATATAAGGGTGCCGGTTCACCCTCATGACCTAATCCCTTCTAAAGTCCTCACCTCCAAATGCCATCACAATCAGGCACACACTGAGGACTGGGGGCACAAACATTCAGACCATAGCAATGACCCTTTCTGCTTTCCTTTGAGAGGCTGCAGTCTGGAGCTGAGCTGAGACGAGGTCCTTTCTTTATAGCCCCAAACCTCACTTTGCATTTTATTATCAGCGCTGGGCACTTTGAGTAATGCCAGGTCTCCTGGCACGTAGTATGAGCTCTAGGGGTGTGAACTTCTGCATTCTTAGTACCTTCCTCCATCACAGTTATTCTGACTTCAGTTCATCCTTCCTTCTAGTCCAGTTCTCTCCTTTGCACTGGGCACACCCCTGCCAGCTGAGCACCTCTCAGCACCCAGTGCCTCCTGCCCCCCTTTCTTCATCTGCTTCCTTCTCCACTGGCTCCTTCCCTCAGTCAGTACATCTATTCAAATCTCTCCCATTCTTATAGTTAATTCTATCAGCACCACCCTTGAATGATGGCTTCTATCTCTCCACCCATTCGCCCTTCTTGAAAGAATTTGGTAGACTAAGGTTTTGCAAAGTGGCGTGCACAAGATGTTCCACTAGGGTACTTGAAGAAAATGTTGGCATTGCTATGCACCTTTGAATTTCATCCTTTTACTTTTCCATGTTTGGTATTTTAGAGCATATATTTATTTGTATCTGTGTATTTTACAATGTAGCTATATGTGTATGTACATCGTTTACCTTTCAACTCTTATTCTTCCAGCCTCCTTGATTCAGATATACATTCCCACTGGCTTCTGCATATCACTGCCAGCTATCCTATGGGCCTCACAAAACCAGCATGGCCAGTCTCTCTTCCTGGATCCCACCTCTTCCAGTTTGCTCCCTTGACTGCAGGCCTGCAGCATGGGAGATATCACCAGGTTGTCAGCCTGGGACTCCTTGTAGAATTCTTTCTGCCTCCTGGTCCTGTGTATGTCTTGTCCAACATATGTGCTAATCGATTGTTCGTGTTGTTGGTACGGCTTCCCATCGACAGCAGCCTATTAGTACTTAAGTTTTAGGGGAGTTGAAAAGAATATGTGGATTTTTGACTGTACAGGGGACTGGCACCCCTAACTCCCAGATTGTTTAAGGGTCAATATATCTAGTTGTAGTGATTCAACTTACTTACTTTCTCTCAAATCTGCTCACCCAGTGTTCCCTCACAGCCTCTGCACGAATCCTCCTGTAGATACTCCTATTGCTAGGTCTGGATGCCTTCCCTGCCGCCATCAGCACACCCCACACACAGCCAACTGCAGGAGTTCTGCACACCTGTACATGATGCAGGTCTCTGCCTGACTTAAAAAAACAATCAAACTAATGCTTGATCTTTAAGACTTTCTATGATATTTGCTGCACTATCCTTTTATCCCTTTATCTGTTAACCTCCTCAGCTAGACGTTGGGCCCTAGTAGGATAGGGACTGTGGCTTCCCACATAATGTAGCCAGCCACCTCCCCACATACTGTAGCTAGGCATCTTACCTGCCACTTGGGTCTCAATGAGTGGAGCTTTAAAAACTTCAGGGAGATGAGCTGGGAAGCTCAATCACCATGTAGGCATCTGCTCATTACAGTGATAAGTAAGTGAGGCTGTGGGCAGGAGTCAGTGCCACTGTCTCTTGCTGAAGAGCTCCTCCAACTTTTGACCCAGAGAGATATGGCATTAAGTCTTGTTGGCTGAAATTGAAGTCCTAGTCACTTTCTGGCTAGATTGCTGTTATAGAAAAGATATTAACAACAAATGTTTATTGAGTAAATACTGTATACCAGCACTGGGCCAATAATTTTACATGCGTTATTTCACTTAATTTTATCTTAACTTTTTTTTTTATTTTACAAAAGTTTATTTTTACATCATTTTGTACATTTTTTTTTCCATCTCAATTGTGATCCCCGCGGGTTTCCCATCACCAAGTCACCCGTGTGCCATCACCATAATCCCGTGCATTTCCCTCCCCACCCCCCTGTTTTTGATTACCTTAACTTTTTGAGATAGATACTATCATCATTTCCATTTTATAGATGAGCTCACCAAGATTTAAGTGATTTTCCTAAAGGTGTATACCAAATACATGATGGAATCAGATTTCAGTCTTAGCAGCCCGACTCGAGGCTGGAAGTACTAATTTGGGAGTCTTTGGCATTATGGGTAGAATTTAGAGCCAGAACCCCAAATAAAAATATCAAGAGGAAATAGAGGACAAAGTACTTGGTTCTGGGCCCCTCCAATATTTACAGGTGAGGTACATAAGATCTGGGAAAGGAGGCTGAGGACAGGAGTCATGTCCTAATGGCCTAGTGCAGAAAGTGTTTTGAGGATGAGGAAGTGATTGGTGGTGTCCACTATTGCTGATATGTCACTTACAAAGAGGGCTGAAAGATGACCAGAGCCAGCATATGAAGTTATCCAGGTGGTGCCCAAGGGAGGAACCATAGCCATCATGTCCCTGACACCCTGGTATAGGAATGAGCCTCAGCTAAAGAAGAAGCATCTACTTAAAATTCAGACAGAGAAGCCATGTGGGAATGCCATGTGGGCCAGCTCACACCCTTGTTGCCCACTGGGATTAGGAATGTGGAGCCCATTGGCAACCTCACTAAAAGCAATTGAGGGGGAGTGATGGTTATGGAAATTTGATTGGTATGGATGGAAGAATAAATCAATGGAGAAGAAATGATTGCAATATACTAGGAGAGTGATACCTCATCTGCCCACTTTCATGGATGTGAACACATTGGGAGAAGCACATGGTAGTATCCAAATTTAAGATTGTAGGGTGGTCCCAGACACACAACTGTGAGTATCCAAGATGGCCAGTCAGGTCCCCCAAAGCCAACCAACCCATGTTGGTCATGTTTATTGTCAGACCTCCATGACCTTCTCCAGCTAATTCCAGCATGATCTACAGAGACTCTTGTTATCTCATCTCTTTTTCTGGGACTTTTGTTTCCCTCTGTTAACATAGAATAACAGTTGAACACCATTAAGATCAATGGGAAATTTTCCTATATGGATTTTTACTTTTGAGAACCAGAGCCAGTTTCACTGTCCAGAGTCCACAGTCACCCCAGCTTCTATTCTGGGAGCTCTGCCATCTTTTGCTTTCAACCCTTGGCACAAGGCAAGCTTGGGCTCCTGTGCCTGGAGAGGCAAGAACTGCCTCCTCTCATTATCACACAGCCTTGGTTCTGTAGGGAAGAGGTGTGGTGGTGGTGGTGGTGTGTGTGTGTGCATGCGTGAGAGTGAGTGAGAGAGAGAGATAAAGAGAGAGAGAGACTGAGACTGAGACTGAGACTGAGGAAACTCCAGAGGACAGACCTCTTGCCAGCTGCTGAAGTTCTTTTTCCCAGACGTGGGTTAGCCCCCAACCATTTCCATTCTCAGCCGGCTGCCAAGTTCTGCAGCAGGTCCCATGCCAGGTGGAAAGCGTACTTCACTTGGGTAATCCAGACCTTCCATCTTGACAGAGATAGGAAACACGAGTGAGTGAGTAGGGTATTGGATGGAGGGAGGATAAGGAAGTGCTTTTTGGAAAACCATACCAGAATTGATTGGCCCAGCAGCTTGGTTTTCACACCGACGTAAGCCTCACTCTGGACTGACCCCAAATAGCCAACGGTGGAATACTGTATTCTTGGATCTAGACCATACCAGACTTGACAATCAAATTTTTTTTTTAATCTGGCAAGTGGGGATAATAAATCCTACCCCATAAAATCTTCATGTCAAATGACAAATAAACTCTTAAATATCCCACTGCCTACTTACTGGTAATAGGAAGTACAAGGTTGGGTTTCTTTAACCATATTTGCAGAATGCTGAGAGTTATTTTAAATGCAGCAGTGGCTAAACAAATTTGGGAAACACTGGCTAAACATGTTACAAAGGTTTCTTTCTGGTAGGCTCCACTCAGGCCTTAAATATACTACTCATATGTGGTGAAACTCCAGGGGATGTACGTACTTTATGCAACATTTCTTCCACCTTTAATCAAGTTTCTTAATGAGCTTTTTTTTTCTAGTGTCATTTATGCAACAACAACAAAACACTTTGGAAGATACTGGTCTATATCATCATAAATATATTAAGTATATTCGTTTCAGTCTTCTCTAATTGTGAAGGGGTACACTGTAAGAGTGTGTGGGCATGCCAAGAGGTGGAGCCTAAAGACCAAAGGGGTTCAAGTTCAGAATCTGTTGAAATGAGTGCTTCCTGCTCTGAAACACCTCTCTCCCTCTTATCCTCACAGCTCCCCTTTGAATTGGAGGTTTACTACATTCAGCATGTTATGCTCTACGTGGTACCCATCTACCTGCTTTGGAAAGGAGGTAAGGTCACCAAACCACACCTAGTCACTCCCTTATGTCTTGGGGAATCTTAAGCTCTTAACTGGGATCTTGAGCTGCTTCCTGCCTGGGTTTCTGCCGCTGGCCTTAGGCTGACACCAGGCAGCAGTGGAATGAGCATGGCTGAGGCGTGCAAAGGGTCTGGAACCTTTTCTGAACCATCAGCGTGGGTGAGCAGAAATCTGCCAGGTAGCTCAGCTATAGTAAGTAGTCCGGCATATCCCCAGGTCCTAGGTCTTGGGCTCTTCTTGGTATTACGCGGAACCCCCACCGTCACTCGCTTGTGCCTTCCCCTTCCTCAGTGGGCAGTGTAAAGTAGAAGGAGAGTAGGCGGCACTCAGCCCTCTCCAGAGAGGGCCCCGGTGCTCTGCCATTACACCCATCCTCTCAGAAACGGAGACTGAAAGGGGCCCTTGACCCACTGAAAGATACTTTGGGAGTTGGACTGTCTGTAGCGCAGCCATTCCGGAAAAGCTTGAGAATTTCCGCCATGACATAGCCGCGGGGACCAGCCAGGCCAGGACAAGCTGAACTGCCGCTCTCCAGAAGTGTGACCTGCTGAGAGATTTGTCCTCCATGCCCTAGTTGCGATCACTTAGGACTTAGAACTCTGATTCTTTAAGACTGTTTTTACCCGGTGCAGCCACTTGGGGGCTCCACTGTTAAAGAGCACTTGTTTTCAGTTTGTCGAAATACAGTTTACCCCACTGAGCGTTAGGGGAAGGAAGTCAGGAGTTCCAGCATTCAGAAATGTGTGAATTTCTCAGGTCTGTCCCTGTGGTACAGGGAGCTTCCTAGTAATAGTCACATCTTGGGGATACTACACATCTGGGGGCAACAGGCGGACAGCTTTCCCAGAGCCCCAGAACCCCACACTTAACACTTCCTGCTTTCTAAGGTGCTTGATACATATTCTGGCCAGATACGCTTGATTAGTAAATTGAACTTTTTTCACTCATAGAAATCTGTCCGTAGTTCAGCTATACTAGTTTGGCATGGAAAATGCCAAATAGCCATCCTTCATCTGCTCCTACCCTAAAACATATACACAAACTGGGAAACTGTGTCTCTTAGAAGCGGGTGCTTCCTGTCCAGAGAAATGGGACTGAGGCTGTAGGGGTTGAAAGTCTTAATCCTAATTTATTTTTGATACTTAGTGTTTGTTACCCTCTCCTGTGGAGCTTCGCCCTGAGAAGACACTGTCGTCGTCCTAGGAGAAATAATGACCACAGAAATAATAAAAGTAGCAGTGGCTACTTTAAAAAAAAAAAAATATATATATATATATATAATAGTTTGTTTGTACATCAGTTTGTGCCTTTTTCCATCTCAGTTGTAATCCCTGTGGGCTTCCCATCACCAAATCACCCGTGTGGCAATGGCTACTTTTTATTGAGGTGCCCTGTCTGTGAGATATTCTGCTAGGCCTGTTTTTTTTTTTTTTTTTAAATCATCTCCAGTAACCTTCTGAAAAATCCTTCAGAGGAGAAAATGTTAAGTACCTTGCCCATAACCATACATAGCAGAACCTGGATTCAAAATCCATCCTAGATTCCTTCCCTAAGCAGTGCCTGTTTCATCATACCCTGTTGTACTAAAAGACAGTTGTATTCTAACCACGACAGGGGCCCTGTCTCTCCTTCACCTCCACCCCCATTTAGCCATTCACTCAGCATGTATTTACAACACAATGTCCAGCACTAGCGGAATGTCAAAGCTGGGAGAGGCAGGCACAGTTCTTTCATAGGAGTTCCTGTGTAAGTGGAAAGATAGATAATTGGAACACAAGGTCGGAAATATGATTTCCAAAGTCTATTTTGCCTTCCCACCTTCACTCTTTTAGACTTTCTGGAGATCTAGGCTTTCTTTCCAGCTCTTTGCTACCATCTGCTGTTTACTTTGGGGAAATGATCAGAGAAATCTGAATCTCCTAAGGCTGATTTCACCTCCAGTGGTAAGCCTTGGCTTTAAGCTTTGCAGAAGAGGAGTGTATCTGAGTGAGCAGTGGGAAGATTATTCCCTGTAAACCACAACTACTGAGTTTGGGCCTTTCTTTCCCGAAAGTCTCTTATAGATGTTCAGAAATAAGTGTCTCAGGATTTCTACCCAGGGCAAGATAGGTGTGCCATATATACTGCCTATATCCAAGAACGTCAAGGTCTTGCTTCTTCAGATTGCAGGGGGTAGGGTGGTGCTTAGGGAAACCCGCTCCTCAGGCCTTCTGCAGGCCTTCAGCACCAGCAAAGAAAACACCCCCCCCACTCCTGTCCACACTGCTGCACTGGAACACTGTCTATTTCTGTTTTTTTCCTCCACACCTTGCCTTTGGCCTTCTGGAACAACATGTTTTCTAAGTCCCCCACCTCCTTATTCACAAAGCACAAAGTCCTTCTATCTCCTATCTGAAGCTCTCTCCAACAGAGGCTGTTCTTCCTGTCCAGCCCTTCTGCTACCCGGCGCCCACTGTCTCTTCCAAATCGTTATTTCATCTGTACCTTATATGAAAATGTCCTTTACCATTCTCTCTCCCTGAGAGACTTGCAGCCGGGGTCGCTCATCCCACCGCCAAGGTGTCAGTGACATCTTCAGCTGCCTGGACCTTGTCTTCCCCCCAGACCTCCTCTTTCTGAGATCATAAGCTTCTGTCCCTTTCTGTGACCCAAATGTTCACTCATTTCCCACTTCCTATCAACCTGTAATACTCTGACCAATTCCTGTACTTTCCTTCCACCAGCTTCTGAAAGTATCTCACTCATCCCTCCCGATGGGATCATTGTTCATTTTCAGCACCCAATCTTGGCCTACTGGAGAAAATCTCTCCACTTACTCAGATCTGAGCCACTAAACTGTCACGGTCTCTATTATAACTGTGCTTTTTTTTTATCTCCTCAATTATTTTGAGTTTCTCCACACATGGCCCTCAGAAGTCACATGCAAACCCTTTACTGCCCTCCTCAACCTTCCTGTCTAGTTTATTCAAACTTCCTGTTCTCTTCACTTCCAGTAGCTCTCCCACAACAAATGATGGAGAAAATAGAGATTTTCAGATGGGAATTCTCTCAACTACTTCATTCTACAAAGCCATCCTTACATTCCGCTGCCATCTGGGAGGAAGTGGTATTCCTCCTGAATGAGGCCAACCACACCCTGGTGTGCACCTCTTATGCTTTTCTCCTCTACTGGAGCCTCACTCCACCCACTAATTCCTTGTACAACTGGATTTTCAACGCTTCCTTTATGTCTGAGTTTTCAGCCAGGAAGGATGCAGAAGTCTTTCCTGTTCTGGAACACTTTCACCCAAGCCCGCATTACTCTTTCATCTTCTCTTCATGGCTGAGTATGTTAGAAGAGTAGTGAAACAATATCTGTTAAACTCACAGTTTTGTCATTATCCATGTAAGCACACATGTATGTCCTACAGGTCCTTAAATCTAGTGGGTTTTTTTCCTAAAATATATTTGTTTTTAAGAGAAACTTTAAACTACTTGTGAAATTCTAGAATCCTTCTCATCTCTTTACATATACTTTAAATACATGACTTATAAGAACAAAAAATATGTTTACTGTTTACCACCTCTAACCACCTTATGAATAGGACATAACTTGGGGTGACACTTATCTACCATTGATGAGCCCGTCTTCCCACTTAGCTTCCATTCCTCAGAGCATTTCCATCTGACACCTTCCTCACCTACCCCTCTTCTGAAGATCTCCACCTGACCAGTCTGATGACCTTCTCTTACACTGTGTCCTACCTGAGCTCCCTACTGCGTTGCAGTTGCTGGTCACTTCTTTTTGGGATGTCCTATCAGGGCTTCCAAAACCTCCTCCTCCCCTGGCTTATCCTACCTCACTGACCCTACCTTGCCATGCCCCCTCTAGGATTTCTTTTTTATCAGTCCTTTGAGAAGTTGATTTCTCCAGAGTTTTGTCTGGACACATTTCACTGCTCTGTGACTCCATGGTAGTCTCCTGTGCTTTCACACCTTAACCAGCAGTCTGTGGAATGGCGGCCCCCACATTGCCACCTGCAGGGCAGATGTAGGAGGTTCCGTTTCATACGCACCCCTAACCTAGTCACTTGAATATTCCAGAGCACACCTCAGGTTCACCTGCCCATGCTGGACCGGCTCATTTCCTCATCAGCCCTGCTGTCTTCCTTGTGGCTTTTGACAAATGGCACCACCCTGTTCCCCCAAGCTGGAACCTGGTATTCATTGCTACCCTTGCTTCTCATGTACACACTCATCTAACACGTTCTGTTGTTTCAGGCTGGTTTAACAAAACACCACTGATTGGCTGACTTATAAAAAGCAGAGATTTACTGCGTACAGTTTGGGAGGCTGGGAGGTAGGCGGGCCAAGTGGCGGCGCAGGCGCCTCCTGAGTTGGCCTTCCTTCTGGCTCACAGGCGGCACCTTCCCACTGCGTCGTCGCTTGGCAGGGAGGACAAGGCATCTGGAGCCTCTTTCAAAGGGCACTAATGCCACTCCTGAGGGCTCTGCCACATGCCCCACATGCTAATACTGTCATCTTTGGGGTTAGGCTTTCATTCTATGAATTTGGGGTGTGGTGCGCAAAAAAGATTCAAACCATAGTAATGTGTTTATATCTTTCTGTTTCCTGCTGGTCTCTGTGTTGTTCATTGGGGTGCCCTCAGGAATAAAAATCAGAAAGCACCCCTTGCCTGCTAGAATTGATCATGTAGTGGTGGCAGACCAATATGGATCCAATTTTCACTTACATGATTGTATAGTTAGAACTGAGATAAGTGCTCTGATTAAAAGGAACATGCTTCTATGAACCCACGGAACAAAAAAAGCTACTATAGTTCAGAAGTTTGAGGATACGTTCCCCAAAGAATTGACATTTCAACCAAGATCTGAGGGATAAATCAGGGTTTACTAGCAGGACAAAACAGCATGTGTGATAGCACTGTGCAGGTCGGGGAGGGAAGAGAGCCTTGGGCCTCAGGGACAGGCA